TTGGGGAGGGAGAGCAGAGATAGCTTTGCCCTGGCTTCTCTGGGCAGAGAGAGGAAGCTGGTTTCAGGGAATTGCAGGGCTCTGGACAATGAGGAGAATAAGTGGGGAAAGGTATCTGGGAGGCAGCACAATGGAGAGGCAGGGTTGAGGGTTACAACTGCTGAATCAAGATGACATGTGAGAAGACAAGGACCACAGAGACTGGAGAATTCTGGGAGGTCACATAGGAAGAGAAGAGAAGCTCTTACAGCCGGGCCACGCTCCCCAGAGGCAGCGTGTTCGTTGCTTACATAGCACACAGTCACTAATGGGTTAAATTTTAGCTGTGCGCAAGGGGAGCTAGCCAATAGGTAAGACTGCTTCTAAAGAGCCTATCCCTGTTGCTCAGGATAATAGGTTCACAAGGGTAATCTTCCAAAGTGAGCCTTGTTTTGTGCATACAGGCAGAATCAAGTGCAGTGACAGTACGCACAGTTTAACACTTTTGCTTCTTTGAAAAATTGTCCCTTACCAATCCTGTTTGGGCCTGTCTCCTGAAGAGTAATCTGGCTGAAGGTTTTTAAGTCAATTTGAATAGTGCAATTGTAACCCCCACTAGGTGGATTTGAACCTGGGACCTCTGAAGCTTAGTATAGGAGCCTAAAGCCCATGCTGTAGAGGTCTCTAGTTTTTATCTGTTGCTGTGGTCTAAGTGCCACTGCATGGGACAGTGAATCACACAAAGAGTGTGGGTTACACAATGACTTTGTTTCCATGAACGAACCCATTTTACAGAAGGGATTTTAAATGAGAGTGTCCACCTACCAGTAGCATGGGGAGACAGCAGCTTGTGAGAGCTAAACTTCAAGGATCTGTCTAGAAACAAAACATTTCCCTTGGCTTTGCCAATAAACCTCCAGACAACCACATACAGCATGTGATTACCCAAAAGTGTCAGCTCAGTTCCCAGTGTCTGTGTGCCACACACAGTTTCCCAGGGTCAGAGCACAGCAGCAGACTCTAACAGACACTTTTAAACATTTAAAATTAATCACATTTTCCTCAATGTTGTTTAGAGAAGCTATAAAGAGTTCTCTCTCTCTCTCTCTCTCTTCCCCCCCCTCCCCCCCCCCCAACCTCTGCTAGCTGGCTTTCTAGTGAACAGCTTTCATGGAGGCTGATAGCCCAGCCCTATCACTTACTCTTTTTCTTCTATGCACAATAAAGTTAAAAAGAGTTTATCTGAGGTGTTTACTGGCTCCTCTTGTATCTAAACAAATCGAACCACACGACAGGAACTTACTCTTTTTCTGGCTCTGGGAGAATCCAAGTTTGTTCCTTTTGGGGGTGGGGTGGGGGTGGAATTGTGCATATCTGCTATAGAGCTGAGAGAATTTGGAAAGTGGTCAAGGGCTGCACTCGTCTATATTAATGGAGGAGTTGTGGGGTCTGGGATGGAGGATGGGTGCAGAAGGGAGCTTGCAGTAAGGGATTGAGGGGCAGAACACGGTCTGGGAGAGAGTTTGGGTGAAGGAGCAGTTGTGACCTGGGTTGAGGACTAGGGTGCAGGGGTTTGGGTTGTGCACTTGGGCAAGAAGGAGTTGTGACCTCGAGAAGGAGATTGGGTGGAGGAGTTTGGGCTGTGACCTGGGGCAGGGGATTGGGATACAGGTTCTGGGAGGCAATATGGTGCAGGAGGGGGGTGGAGGATTTGGGTTATGTGGGGAAGGGAGGCAAAAGTTTGGGGTGCCAGAGGCAGGCTCTGAGCCGAAGACTTACTTGTTTGGCTCCCAGCCAGCAGCCTTCTCAAGCAGACTCCCTGCCTGCCCTGTCCTCACACTGGCTTCAGGGGCCATATGTGTGTTTTTTAACAGCTAGAGCCTGAGGGGAGGATCTTGCTCCCATTGGTTGGAAACTGGCCCATGGGCTTGTGCTGCAGTGGGGGTGGCACGTGAAGCCTCTGCCCTCTCCCCCCAGGCTCACAGCTATTCCAACAGAGCCCAGCAAGGGATGCTTATCTCAGCAGTTTGCAGAGAGCATCAGGGAGTCTGCTGGAGGTTCTCCATTCCATCTGCAGGTTGAATCCGGCAGTTTGGTGGGCCAGATCTGGCCCATGGAGGGTATTTTGTTCAGACCTGTCCTAAACAGGAAGAGTCAGGACCACTACATTAGGGATGTAGCTTTTTCTTATCATAACTTAAAGCACAGGAAAGGTTTGGTTGTGTCGGGAAAATGGGATGTGCCTACAAGGGGATTGCTTCTCATAAAACTATATAGAAAAGAGACAGAATCATCAGGCAGGTGAAAGGGAATGGTTGGGGGTGCACACCTCCCCTCTGGGACTGCCCCATACCTGAGCTTTCCTCTCCCCAAGTGCCCTATACGGAGAAGGCGGGGTGCTGGTCTCCCCTCCCCCTCCTTCCCCATCCTCTCCGATTCCAACAAGAACATTGCTGGCTATTCCCCTTCCTCAGGGAACAAGGGGAAAGTGCCCAGTTAGCTGCATTCCTCACTCTGGCTGGGGAGCACAGGAGGCAGATGAATCTGGACCTGTCCCAACTGATTGACATGCACTCCTCCCCCAGCTATGCCTGCGGGAGCTGCAAAAGCCTATAGAGGCGCTTCTCACCTGGCACCAAGCTGCTGCAGTAGAGAGGGCTGGGGTAGTCCTCTATTCACGAGTCAACTTGGGAATTAAATCCCTCAACCCCAGTCCCACCCCAGAGAAATTATTTAAATGAAGCACGTACATTTACATTTTATTTTCCAAAAAACAATGCAGCAATTAATTGAGTTACAGACATTAGCAACGTCAGGTAAATTTTCTGTCATTACATAAAGCAGCTTCAGTATATGTGTAGTGAGTGTATCCAAAGAGCAACAGCTCTTGGCATTAGGGATGCAAAGGGTTAAGCAGTTACCCGGTAAGTGTTCGCCTTACTGGCATACTCACCAGGGTAACTGGTTAACCCGCGCCCAGCTGGAACAGCCCTCTGCCCACGGTGTGGCAGGCTCTGCACAGTCCAGATGAAGCACCCTGCAGCGCACTTGGCCCAGCCGGGCTGGAGCAGTCCCCCATGCCAACAGCTCAACGTGGCAGGCCAATTAACTAATTAAACCTATAGTTTAACCCATTAACATTTTAAACAGGATTTTGCATCCCAAATTGGCATGTAATCATAGTGTGCTTTGTTTTCCTAGGTTGTTGTGTGCTGCAAATAGCTTCTTGTGTGTGGCCTGTAACAGGGAATATTGTCGTCTCTTTTCCTAAGCTGCTGCCCCTTAATGGTTTGATGGGCATATCAGAATGGGTGGTAACTTGGGCCAGATAAAATCCCTGGTGATAAAAGTTCAGTGGAGATGAGAAGAGTTGCACTAGGAAGAGTTTGGCTCCTTTGGTCTGATGCTTCTCTTATGCGCTGACTTAATGCCTGATTTATGCCAGTGTAAGAGAGAAGAGACTCAGATCCTTGGTGTCTGGTTGGAGGTGGAGATTCCAAGTTTCTGTATAACACAGTGTTTGTAGGGAGTAATCAGGAGCCTGTCATATTTTTAAACCTGTAAGGATGTTCAGGGTTTATATGATGAACACATGTTATAAATACACTTAAACTGCTATTCATAAGATAGTAAGCCCTAAAAGTCTGAAAGTATGATCTCTCCATCGCCTATGCATATTGCCAGGTGAAGGTGCTTGCTGGTGTTAATAAAATGTTCTCATTTCATAAGCTAGAAAATGATGCTTTTGTTTCTAATTTCTTATACCAAGTCCAGCTGGATTCCATGACTAGCAAAGAAGATTCTGCAGTTAGAAATTAGTTGCCAGTTCTGTTGGTAATGAACAACTCAGACTCTCACTTAACATAGTTATGTTCCTGAAAAAAATGCTACTTTAAGTGAAATATTATCCGAATCCAATTTCCCCATAAGAATTAATGTAAATAGGGGAGGTAGGCTCCAGGGAATTATTTTTGCCAGACAAAAGACTCATGTAAGTGCAAGTGTTTAAATAATTTTAAAGAAAGAATTTAATACTGTACTTACCGATGATGATGATGAATCCTAGTTGAGGAAGGGACATAGTGAGGAGGGCACAAGGACTTGCCCTGCTCCACCTCCCTGGTGCTCCTGACAAAGAGTGGGGTCACAGTACATGGGCTTACTCCACTTGGCCCGGCTGGAATGCTGGGCAGGTGGAGTGGGGGTGGGGGGGGGTAAGCCCTTGCAGGCTGACCCCACTTCCCAGCTGGAACACCAGGTAGGTGGAATGGGGAAAGCCAAACAATCCTGTAATGGAACATTGCAGGACTTCAGGTGCATATGTTTGGTAAGAGATAGCAACCTAATAATGAAACCGTTAACCCGATGGCTTTAAGTGAAGAGTTACTGTATAATCCAATTCCCTCTCCCTTTGCATTGATGTGATGACAGGGACAAATGTGATGGCCGCCATTTTGGCTGACACACCAGAGACTGACCCCAGAACTTTCAAAGTAAGAACCTGTCACAGCTTGAGCTAAGGTGCCCCAAGTCTCCAGTGGGTCTCTGTAACAACGCGTAATCTCTGTGGATGGGCACAGCAAGGGAAGCATAGCACATGCTCACCAGGGGTTACACAAGCAGGATTGTCAGCAGCATTAGCATAGCCAGTTGGGTCTGGGGATGTTATATAAGAACATGGCATTTATTTAACACTTCTTGGACCCCGCCTGTTCTTTAGGAAAAAGGAACACTCAAGCACCATGACCCTTATGGGTAAGGATGGTCTCTTTTCTGTGTCAGGACAGTGCCTAGCACAATGACATCCCAATGTCTGCTGAGTACTGTCCACAATCAGAACATAAATATTAACCAATCATGCAAATTAGAAATAATGGGGAGGGAGTGGTCCTGCGGTCAAATATTAAGCAGGTCATTCTGGATGGTATCCGAGGCATCACTTGTTTAAAAAAAAAATCTTATTGGAGATTCTTAATATGGAAATGGAGTACAAGACTCTGACAGTAAAATATTTTTAACAGGGAGAAGACTGCGAGGAAAAGCCTTCTACAATGTCAATGGTAAAGTGTACTGTGAAGAAGACTTCCTAGTAAGTAAGATTTTAGGCCTTTCTTCTGTTTGCTTTTTTTTTTTTAAGTGAAAATTTCTTTTGTGCTGCCTGATACAGCATGAGACCAGTTAGCCTTTGAGCTGGTCCCTGCGTCCACTGAAGTCAGAGGGAGTTTTGCTATTGACTTCAGTGGCAGCATGATCAGGCCTTTAGTCTGAAGCTGTAGCCATGAAACCAAGTACATAACTGTCTGTAAATCATCTCACAGTATAAATTATAAGTGTAAATACTGGAGCTGTTCAAGCTTTAGGCTTGAATTGCAGCCACAGAGCTTGCCAAGCCTGAGCTCAAATTCAAACATCTGGGGAATACCAATCATAACAAGAGGGGAGACTTTTTTGACTGCTGCATGTCATCACGGTGCACAGTGTTGCTTTGTTAAAGGCATAGTTTTAATTACTGTTCTGCTATGAACTGCTTGGAGCTGCACCGTGGTTTGCAGAAAACTGTTAGCCATGGAGGTACAACTAATGTTCCCTCAACGCACTCAGTGACTTTGCAGCTGTAGGGGGCTGATTCATGAAAAGAAAAATGGAACATGCTGCTGAGCTGTGTTCCAAAAATAAAATGTGTAATGAAGGAGGAGACTGCAAATAATTCAAACAGGAGGAAAATGAATTGACTGAACGACAGTTGCTCTCTACATGATTGAGATGAGATGATGTTTGGGAACTGAAATCAGAGAGGGTTGTCACATGTTTGCTTACAGGATGACAAATGAAAGAATCAATTAGTTGAATTTACAGCATCAGGCTCCTTATTTATTGAAACAGCAGCATCCTTTTGGAGGCTCAGAATCTGAGATTACCTAAATTCCATATGTAATAAGAGGTTATTAACACCATCTTCACACAACCTCAAATAATGTTCATCCTATGCCAAAAAACTAGCTGGCAGTTACACGGCTTCTCAAGTGCATTTCTCATCAATTCAACTCATAAAAATCCCTAGTGTAGGAATTGTGTCTACTGTCATGTATATGTATCCCAATCCCATCCTAGATATCACCACTAGATATCACCACAACTAGAAAAACAAAAAAGGGCCAATTGAAAAAAGGTAACTGTTTTGCAAAAAAAAAAAAAAAAAAAAGTCAAAAGAAATTAACCTTTTTTCATTTCATTTGAAACTTTGGTTGAAAATATTCTCACTATTTTTACTCCCTGCCCTTCCATTTCCTAGTAAAAAAAATAATAATAATGGGATTTTTACCACCAAAACAAGTCATGTCAATATTTTTCAAAGATATATGTATATAGAATGTTTTTGTTTTGAATTTTTGTCATAAACAGGAAATTCTGGTGAAATCAAAGTATTTGTAATTACACTGGAAAGTTTTGCAAAACACCATATTTCAACTAACTCTTGGTTGAAAAATGTTAACCTGCTCTGATTCTCTTTCAATAAAAACTACTTCTCTTGTATTCAAATGCAAAGACGTGTCCTATATTCTGACCTGGTAATTGCTCCTTCAGCAGCCTACATTTTTTATATTATGCATCTGAAATCTCTCTATCTCTGAAATACTTTGATCTTCTAATCTGTCAACATTTAAAAAACAAGGAACTGTTTTCTTTGCATCCCCACCCTTCCTCACAATATTATATTATTAATTATATTAACAATAATAAGTAATACTCACCTATATTTTCCAAGGGTATTTCTTGCTGGTTATTCCAGCACTCAGCAACTCCTGATCTTGTTGTACAGAGATGAAAAATAAGAGATGTCCCTTGTAATAAAGGACTGTTGGCAACCCTACCCTACTTTATGCTTTAGGTCTGGTTGAATTTTTTCCACTAAAATTGTTTTTCAATAGAAAATAAGGACTTTGACTAAACAAATTTCACATTGACAATGCCTGCTTTTCTCAGAAAATTTCAGTAATTTGTTGAAAAACAAAACTTTTTAGTTAAAACCCAAAATTGTTAGTCCAAATTGTTAATCCAGATTGTTGGTCAAAATGTTTTAGTTTTCAGCCAAACATTTTTTTATCTGAACACTTTAGGCAAAAAGTTGAAAAATTCTGTTGGCGCACAGACACAAACACTGCTCTTCCTGTGCCCACCCCCACTTCCTGTTCCAGCTGCAGGGGTCCTGGGATCCTAGTGTGAATGCTAGTCCACCCTTGGCTACTAGCTTTGTGAGGCCCAACCTTCTACTAGTGAGCCCTAATTGGTCTGAAGGAGCCTGGGGAGATCTTGGGGAGCCAGAATAAAGGGCTTGCTGTGTGCTGCCCCCCAGGTCTTGGGAGGTCACTGGCGAACCAGCAGATGCAGTGAAGCTTTGAATCCGTCATTGGTTTACAGCGCAGGCAGTTGCTTTACAAAGAATACATACTCCAGCTGCTTTTCGAGGCAAAAATCATAAGAAGAATGTGGAGAATGCTGCCCTCTCTCGCAGCAGCAGCTTGGGGCCAGGTGAGAAGCGCATCTCCATGGCCACTGAAGCTTGAGTGGATGCAGCCAGTGGCAGGAGAGGGGTGCATGTCCTGTGGCTGGAGTAGGTTGAAGTTTGGCTGCTTCCTGCACTCCCCAGCCAGATTGAGGAATGCAGCAAACTTTGCCAGGCCTTTCACCTGCCTGGTGATTGTTTCTTTTCTGTATGGCTTGATGAGAAGAAATCCCATTTTCCTGGCCCAACCAAACCCTTACCTTGCTTTAAGTTATGATAAGATGAAGGTGTAGGCCAAATTTGGTAGTCCTAGCTCCTACTGTTTAGGAGTTTTTGAACAAAAAGACGTGCATACACACAAATTCTCTCAAATATCTATTAGGAAAAAATCTAGCCTATTTCTTTAAACTGGAGTCAATGTTCCAATCTTTTTCACCATCCACGTGCCGTTTTTTTTTCATCCATGTGTGGAATACATTTTTATGTGCACCAAAGTATGTGTGAATGTGTACCACCAGTAGAAACAAAAAAGCTCGCTGTGAGTGCTCTGCTAATCAGCAGGGTGGCATTTGAATCTCTCCTGAGTAGCCGCAGATGCGCACAGCTTACAGGGAATACTGGTCTAGACTTACATGAGACCTAAAGTTTGAAATGCTACAGCTCTGCCTCTCATTAGCTAGAAGCAGCTAAGAGAGGTGAGACTGTAAGCTTTGTATTTAAAGGAGACATTTTAAATGCTTCTGACCCCTAAACTACTGAACAGAGGTACTCCTAGCTACTTTGAAAATCCAGTCATTCCCTTACAAATAAGTGCTATGAGGAAGTAGCTGATACACAGTGCTTTTTACGTGCAACAAAGTGATTTAATCTCCACTCTAGGTACAAAAATCTCCATGCAGCTTTAACTCTGGATTCCCTCCAGATGTCACAGTAACACTGAAGTAGGGATGTTACAGACCGGGACACTACTGAAGTATGAGGTCATCCAGTCCACCTCCCTGCCAATGTGGGATTGTTTCCTAGTGTTTTGTCCAGTCTAGTTTTAACCATGCCAAGGGAGGGAACTTTCATTACCTTGCCAGTAACAGATGTTAGTCTGAAATAGTCCCTTTGGGATGCCTTTGGAAAATGTGGCTATTTGGCTGGTTGAGTGTGGCTATTTGCGATAGCCGTAGCCACTATAGTGGCTACTGCTTCAGAACTGGTTGGATACCAGCGGGCTAGATTCTTGCCAGGCACAACACAGATGATCCCCACTCAGGAGAAGGATGCTACGCAGCAGCCTCCAACATCTGCCTGTGGGCTGCACCCCATCCCAATGCGAGAGCCATGTCTCCTCTCACCACAATATGCCCCCAAGAACCTCTAGGCATGGCCCGTAGGCTGGAAGCAGGGGCAGTAGAAGGACAACGTACCCCACACTTACAATGTTCCTGCACCAGGAAACTCTCCTTTATCTTGGTATCACCTATTTATGGTCAGAGCTTGAGGAAAAAACCCAATGATCTAAGCCAGATTCTGATCCCACCCTTGTATTACAGCCACCAGTCTCAGGCTGCAGATAGCATAGTTCTAGCCATAACAACATGTCTAACTCAGGCACCTATGTTCTCACGTGGCTTTTGTTTGCAATGTGAGCGTGGTAATATGGCTGTAAATCATGTCAGGATATCACTGGACAGCTTCATAGAGCCGTGGCACCGCAGTTTTGTACCTGTTATCATCCTGTTCATATGACAAGCCAGATGAGCTGTAGAGCAGACACCAACTACATTTTTTCAGGGGCAAGTACTGCTCCATCTGTGTATGGAAAGTGTCTTTTACTCTGTGGCCATGGGTGAAATCTAAATAATAATAACTGAGTCAGAAAGCCCTGTTCGGACACAGGCATAGGTAGCACTGTAGCATATCCCTTGATTCCCAAAGGCAGCTGCATAGTTGTCAATTTCTCTCCCTTCCAGCAAGAGAGACAATGAGGGTCAGAAGGTTGAAGTGATACTCCCTTTCACCTCACAGTCCAACCATACACTAGAGTGGTGTTATTGTTAACAGAACAGTTGTGAGTTCAGTGCAGCTTTCTGTTTGTGAATCTTACAGCAGGACCATCAAAACAGTTATTCTGTCTGCTCTGTGTGAACATGTGGCTCATCTCATAAGAGTATGGGTTTCCCCTGGCATCCTTAAGCCACATCATCCCCTCCTGACACGGTCATGCATCAGAATGTACATTGGCTCATTTGCTCGCTCTCCGCTCCAGAGGCATCTGCATTTCAGTGATATGATTCCTGGGCCAGATTTTCAGAAGGTTTGAGCTCCCGTTTAAGTAACAACATAAGTAGCCAGATTTTCAAAAGAGCTCAGCCTGTTGGCTGCATATCAGAAACTGAACTATCTCCGATCTGTCCATAAGTGTCACCACAGGAGTTGTGAGGTGCTGAGCATTTTTTGGAAACGTCCCTTTGTTTGTAAAGCACTTGGAGATTTTTATGGAGGAAAGGTAGATGTCGTCGTCGTTATTCACTATGAGCAAGTTCCACTGCACCACTAAATCTGAAGGCAGGACATAGATACACCCAGTAAAACTA